CGGATAACATTGCTTGTCCTCTCTGAAAGCTTCTAGATTTTCCCTTCCTGGTGTTCTGAAATTTCACACTGTCATGGCTTAGATAAGCCTTTTTGCTTTTGGTGGTATCTTTTTGATGTGCACACAATAAACTTTTACTAATTACTACTTCAGTGATTCACTGGTTTTACTTTGGCTATTTCTGAAACTTTGACAGCTTTCTACTATATTTAAATGAACCTGGGCAAAACTTAATTGATTTTTCCTTCTTTACTGAAATCTCATTAGTTAATAGAGTGGAGTTTTCGGCTGAGGCATTGTTTTCCCTGGGTATACATTCATTCTTTACAAATAGTGATAATTTAATACCCTTTTGTACAATAGACATAGCACTTTTTTCCTTTTATATCTTATTGTGCTGGTCAGTTGTGGTCCACAAGATATGTTTCAAATGTTTAACACATGCACGTAGAGCACACACGCGTCTGTCATTCTGAATGTCTAGAATGGCATATACATTCTGCTATTTTTCTTAGTTAGCAGGCTTTATAGACAGATAAACAGCTCTGATTCTTAGTTCAAAGAGGAATATTGCTGAGGAAAAGTTAACTAACCACTCTGCACTCTTCTCTCAGACCCCTTTCTTATTTGGATTATACATTAAATTTCAACTTTCTGACATCTTCCTAGTTCCCAACTGTAGCTTCACAAGGAGGCCTACTATGGCCATGTTATTTTAAACTGTAAAACACCCCCTCTCCCTCAAATCCCCATCCTCCTTTACCTCTCCTATTTTTTCCATAGCATTTATCACTAGCTAACATATTGTATAATTTACTTAATTTTACTTAATTGTTATTTTTCATGATTTTGACTGCTTGCCTCACTGGAATGTGAGCTCTGTGAGAGTGGCAATCCTTGTTTTGTTCACTGGGTTTTCCTAGGTACTTAGAGCAGTGCCTGACATATAGAGGACCTTGTAAATATTGACTGAAAGAAGAAATGCATGCATGAATACTGCAGTGGCAGTTGGCAGTTCCTGACTCTTCCTGTTGCTTGAAGTCTAACCAATAGCCAACTTTACTTTGGTTTCTAAGGGTACATACTAGTGTGTGTGCATGCAGGGGGGCAGACAATATTAAATACAGAATAGAGTATGTAGACTTTTAAGTGCCAAAGAGGAAACAAAACGGGAAGGGATAAAAAAATGTTGCAGGGGGAGAGAGGTTGAAAGTTTAGATGGAGGGAGGAGGTCAGGGCAAAGATGAATTTACAGTGAAGATTTGAAGTACGTAGGGTGCAAACTATGTGGATATCTGGGGAAAGAACATCCCAGGCCAAGGGAACAGCCAGTACAGAGATGCCGACATCAGGTCACGTCTGATGTCTTTGGAGGGAAAGCAAGTGGTCTGGTGTGGCTGGATCACAGAGAAGGATGGGGAGAGAGTAGAAAACGAGGCCAGAAAGGTATGTGGAGGGGAGGTGGCCGGATCATGTAAGGACTCAAAGATCATAAAACCGACTTCAGTTTTACCCCATGTGAGGTAGACGTGCACTGGAAGGGTCTGCAGAGAGGAGTGATGTGAGCTGGCCTACATTTAGCAGGATGTTCTTGCTGCTGTGTTGAGAGTGGACCGCACAGTAGCATGAGCAGAAGTGGCAACACCAGTGAGGAAGCCACCATGATAGCCTGGGTGAGAGATGCTGGTGGTTTGGACCAGAGTGACTGTAGTGGGGGTGGTACAAAGAACTGTATTCCAGAGATATTTTGAAGGTGAAGCCAGTAGGATTTGCCAATGGACTGAGTGTAGGGTGTAAAAGAAATACAGAAATACAAGACAGCATCGTGGTTTTTGAGTTGAGAAACTGGAACAATGACGTTAGCATTAACCGAGGCGAGGAAGAAAGAGAGGAGCAGGTGGCAGGGGAAGGGTGGGAATGTGGTCGTGGGTAGTGGTGTTTGTCTGAGATGCCTGCCAGTCTTGTCAATACACAGTTAGCGCATGACTCTGGAACTAAAGGGAGAAGTCCAGGTTGGAGATAAGTCATAGTTATTGATGGATTTAACACCATAGAATTGGATATGATCCCCTATGGAGTGAAAGCAGGTAGAAAAGAAAGAAGTCCAAGGACTGAGCCTGGGGCATCATCAAATACTTAGAGGATAAGATGATGAAATGAGGCAGCCATATAAACTGAGACGGAAAGCTCAGCAGTGGAGGAGGAATGTGGTGCCCTAGAAGCCAAGGAAGGAGAGGTAGCCAAGGTGTCAGATGTAACAGGACACTTAATGTGATCCTTGAGAAATGACCTTCGGGGTTAGCAATATGAAATGTTATGGGCTGAATTGTGTCCCCCCAAAAAGAGATGTTGGAGTCTAACCCCCAGGACCTTAGAATGTGACCTTATTTGGAAATAGGGTCTTTATAGATGTAATCAAGTTAAAATGAGGTCATTAGAGTGGACCTTAATCCAAAATGACTGACATCCTTATAAAAAGAGGGAAGTCTGGACACAGAGACAGACAAGCACACAGTGAGGTCATCACATGAAGACTGGTCTTAATGCTGCCTCAGGCCAAGGATCAAGCAGAAGCTAGGAGAGAGGCCTTCCCCAGCGCCATCAGAGGAAGCGTGGCCCTGCTGACACCTTGATTTTGGAATTCTGCTGTTTAAGCCACCCAGTCTGTGATACTTTATCACTGCAGCCCTAGGAAACTAATACATGGAGGTCATTGGTGATCATGAAAAGAGACGTTACAATGGAATGACAAGGACCTAATTGAAGTGGGATCCAAAGGGAATAAAAGGGGGAAAATTGAAAACAGTGTATAGGGTCAACATGTAAGGAGTTTTCCTACAAAAGGAAGGAGAGAGACAGGGTGGAAGGCAGAAAAGCAAATGGCCTGAGAAAGGTGGTTTTTTTTTTTGGTTTGTTTGGTTTTTTTAATGGGAGAAATAATTGTATGTCTGATGCTAATGGGATGATTCATTAGAGAGAGTGGGGAGGATCTCTGGAGCTCGGTCCTTGATTAGCAGAAAGAGGACGCATAGATGGACATACTGCCTTTGGCTGGACAAGAGGACAGGTCACTCATGGGTGACAGGAGAGGAAGTGGAGGTTAATACAAGCACAGGTGCAGGGAGCTGACAGTCTTTTCACATCCTCCAAGCTCTCCGTGAAGCAAAGGCATCAGCTGAGAGTGAGGATATGGAAGGTGTGGGAAGCTGGCAGAGAGAGGAGAAAATGCAACAGCAGCTCCAGAGTGAGGGACGGAGAGAAACTGTTCATAGTCATGATTCTTTTCATGTACTATGGTTTTAATTTTATTTTTTGTCTGTGCTGCGCGGCATGTGGGATCTTAGTTCCCGACCAGGGATGGAACCCGCATCCCCTTAACTGGAAGCATGGAGTCTTAACCACTGGACTGTCAGAGAAGTCCCCTTCATATACTATTGAAACTGATTTGCTCCTCTTGCATTTAGAATTTTCCCATCTAAATTTATGAAAAAAATGGATCTAATTTTCTTTTGGGGGGGGTCCATGTGTCAAGTTCTGGTGTTAATAAAAACAGAGACAGAATCAATAACGATGATTACTGAGCACCTATCATGTATCAGGCCCTGCTAAAGCATTTCTTCCAATTATCTAATTTAATCATCTTGGCAAGAAGGACATGAGAGATTGGCTCCACTGTGTAGATGAGGAAAGTGAAGCTGGGGCTGAGGGCAGGACAGTGACGGGGCCAAGGCTTACAGCTAGTAAGCAGGGTTGGGATTCAAACCAAAGTCGGTGACTTCAAGATCAATACTTGAACCAGCAATGTATGCTAACTTTATCAACTAGCTTTTCATCTTACTCTACGTTCTGGAACAGATGATATAAAAATAAGAACAATCTGTTCTTCAAAAATTGCAAAAACCTCACCAGGAAAAACCATCAGTTATAAAGATGCAATATTTAAAGCGTAAAAAATAAGGAGAGAATGGCTTGTTGGTGGAATAAACATCTTATTTCCATTCATGTGTGCCTGTTTCTACTTAAAACTAGGAAGCCTTCAATTTAATCAATATCTGTAGGAACTCATCTGAGCCATTACTCTGTCAATCTAGCTCACCACAGTGTTCTGTCTCCTACCATTTCTGCCTCCCCAAATACTGTGGAATTGTCTTCTTTATTTCCACAGCCATTGCCCTAGGCAAGGCTACCATCCTGTTAGTCCAATGACTGTGATACCTTTCAAAAGTGGTTCTCCCCGACTCTCCTTTCTGTGCCCCTTGTACTCATTTTGTACACAGAAGCCAGAGTGATTTATTTTTAAAATACTCTGTGTATTCACTGTTTTATAACAGAATGCTGCCCCACAAAGGATATATTGCCAAATATTCAGCTGTACAAAATAGTGCATGATGCCTAACTACAAATGGAAAACATAATTTAAAAAAAATAAACACTTAAACACAATATAGGATTCTGCAAAAAGGTATTATTCCAGGTTGTTTTTAATTTTCTTGGGCCTGTCTTTCCCCTTTATGTCTTCAGTGGAATGTGATTATTTTCCAAACCACTGTTCCCAACCCCAAACCTGAAATTTAATATGTGGAATCTTCAATTCCAGTAAGTCTATAAGAGATCACAACAGGCCCCATTTTCTAGTGCTTTCCTTAGCAGAGGAGAATGAGATAAGTACATCATGAACACCTTGACATATCTGTTGTCTTACTGATCTTTTCTCTCTAAGCCTATATTAAACACTCAATAAATATTTGTTGGACAGTATTAAATGAATATGACATTTGGTATTTTGTAGGAATGATCTAAATTTTTTTAATCAATAAACTAGAGGCTTCAATAGAGTACATCCATATTAAATTATGTAATCATAGATTTTCTTAAAATGTGGTTTTTGATTTTTTTTCTCTAAGGTACTGAGTTTTTCATTCTTGATAGCTGATTTCAATACTTTCCCTCATCAAGTATTTTTCCTTTCATCTCAAAATGTCAATTTTCTCTAAGTTTACCTTGAAGCATGACCAAAGACTGTCGAAGGCGGCTGTTTTCTTTCCGGATGTTTGTTAGTTTTTGTTTCAGGCCTCTTATTTTTGTGCACAATTCCTCCTTCGACAATTCTGCTAGAGGCTCTTCATCCTCACTGGAGCTCTCACCGGGCAGAAAGGCATTTCCCGAATATGGGTCTCTCTAAAATACAAGGCAGGCACAACAAAAGCATCAAGGCAGCTCTCGTGGTTTATCCCGTGTTCTGGATGCTGCTGGGACTTAATTAGACCTACAGGCTCCTGCTTTTCCAGGAGGGGAGCTGGGCCCTTGCGAGTGATCTAGCCTCAGCGTGGTCCTCCACTATACAGAGGAACTCAGAATAAAAGAGGACATCAAAGTTTCACGCACACGTCTCTTTCAAAACAGTAATCAGGAGCTTCCCTGGTGGTGCAGTGGTTGAGAGTCTGCCTGCCGATGCAGGGGACATGGGTTCGTGCCCCGGTCCGGGAAGGTCCCACATGCCGCGGAGCGGCTGGGCCCGTGAGCCATGGCCGCTGAGCCTGCGCGTCCGGAGCCTGTGCTCCGCAACGGGAGAGGCCACAACAGTGAGAGGCCCGCGTACCGCGAAAAAAACAAACAAAAACAAAAACAAAAAACAGCAATCAGGATTCTGACTTTCAGCCTAACTTCAATGAAAAACACAAAGTAGAAAAATAGTATAACAGAGTAGAACCAACCAGACCACCATTCAGATCTTTGTAACTCATCTACGTCCTCCATTTCTCTCCCGACACCTCATCCACAGCCTCTTTGTTGAGACTATGCCATGAGGCTAATTTGGGGGTTTATTCCATCAGAGAAAGGAGAAAGATTTACCCAGAACAAAGCACTGACGTCTACCTTTTAGTTTCAAAAATATTTTTTAAGGACAGCAGGACAATAGTCCAAAAACGTATGCCTTTGAGTCGTAACGCCCAGGATTTGTTGAGGCAGAAAAGAATTTTCTCAAATTACTAAGCTGGCCTTTATATTAATCCAAATCTGGAAAATTGGAGCACAGAAGGAAATTTATAAAGATCCAAATCTAGAAGTCTGGAGTATGATGCTTATAAAAATAAACTTTAGGGCTTCCCTGGTGGCGCAGTGGTTGGGAGTCCACCTGCTGATGCAGGGGACACGGGTTCGTGCCCCGGTCCGGGAAGATCCCACATGCAGCGGAGCGGCTGGGCCCGTGAGCCATGGCCGCTGAGCCTGCGCGTCCGGAGCCTGTGCTCCGCAACGGGAGAGGCCGTGGCGGTGAGAGGCCCGCGTACCACAAAAAAATAAAAATAAAAAAATAAACTTTAGAAGAGATAAAGGCACATGTACACCAGAACACAACATTGTGAATCAACTATACTCCAATAAAAATTTTGAAAATAGAGAGAGATCAAGAAAGTTCCTGCTGAATAGGAAGCGAAGAGACCTCCTGGGGCCAGGCTGAGGAGCAGGAAGGACAGAAAGTCAGATTCCAGTGTCTGCTCTTCCTGCCCCGACCTTTGTGGGGAAGAGAGGTGGATCAATGGGGTCAGGGTAGATGACAGAAACATCCAGATGAATGAGGGGCAGTCCCAGGGCAGCAGGGCCAGCTCCGTGCTTCTCAGCACATCATAAATGCCCTAAAGGGGCCCCACGTCCAGCAACATCAGGGCAACATGGCGCCTTCTGGGCCACGGATCAGAAATGGACAAAATTGGTGTCTGAACAAATGGACCAGAGACAGTGTCCAGACTCCCCAGAGCTCATGCAAAGCAGCTGGAGAATCCAGAGGATCCCTGTGTCCCGGTCAGGAACTGGGTAAGTGCTGGGGGAACTGGTGAACAGAGAGGCTACAGGGTGCCAAAACCTTACAGAAGATGGCAGCGGGTCCCAGCACAGCAAACATCAGCAGATGGTGCCAACAGAACCCCCTGGGAGCTGGAGGGAATGCTGTGCCTCAGCAGTGACGGTACTGGACACTAAGGAAACAGGCAGAAGACTTAGAGCCTGGGCAGAAGACCAGCAGTCCCTCCCCAGATGCTGGGTGATATGTAAGACTACTCAAAACTTGAAACACTTCCCAGGAAGAAAACAGGAAGTGGAGGAGAGTGAGAATCTAGTCTCCATTGAGACTTAAACCCTGAAGTGACTGAAACTATACCAATACCTCAAAGGGATTTTAAACACCAGAACACTCTAACTGGGCTTCCCTGGTGGCCCAGTGGTTAAGAATCCTCCTGCCAATGCAGGATACACGGGTTCGAGCCCTGGTCTGGGAAGATCCCACATGCCGCAGAGCAACTAAGTCCCTGCGCCACAACTACTGAGCCTGTGCTCTAGAGCCCGCGAGCGACAGCTACTGAAGCCTGTGCGCCTAGCCTGTGCTCTGCAACAAGAGAAGCCACCACCATGAGAAGCCCGTGTGCCGCGACGAAGAGTTAGCCCCCTCTCCCAGCAACCAGAGATAAGCCCGTGCACAGCAACGAAGACCCAATGCAGCCAAAAATAAAATTAAAATTAAAAAAAAAAAGAACACTCTGTAATTCACTGTCAATGGACAAGTTCAAGCTTTCCCCCCTCCCCCTTTTCTTATCTAGCAGGGATGGAGAATTGAAAGCCAGATGAGATCAGTTATAGAAAATACAATTATATTTTTGTATGACCAGTAATGTATATATTCAACCTCACTCCTTATTTTACAAGTATACAAATCTATGTATGTATACATATTTCATTATTCCACGTGTGTGTGACATATATAATATATATAATGGTAATGAAAATTACTATTGTTCTATGTTGGCAAGTAGCTAAAGTACTCATGCTAGATATATAAATCTTTAATAAAAAAACTGATGCATTTGGTTAAGTAGAAACGAAATATTTATTTAAAAAAACTGAAGGATGCCTATTGAGATCATAGTTCTATGCAGAGTAACTGGGAAAAATAGAATATATGGTCTAGTTCTTGCAGCAATTTCCCACAAGAGAGAAATGAAATCAAGCATAAATCCATTTATAAGCATCATTGGAAGACAAAGTTAATAGACAATAGATTGGGATAAGATATTTGCAAAATCTAACACCACACAAAACTAATTTCTACAGTAGATATGGTATATGCGCCAATCAATAAGAATGGAACAGGAACCCACCAGAATAGACTAAGAAACCCAACAGAAACTATAAAAACTCAATAGAGAAGTGAACAGTGGCAGAGACTGCTGGCTATCACCAGGTATTTGTTCTCCCATTCTTCTACAGTAATAGGTTTTTAGCTCAGCAGATAGATGTCAGCTAGATTACATTTCCCAGACTCCCGGACAGCTCAGTGTGGCTATGTGACTAAGCTTCCGCCAATCAAATAGGAGTAGAAACAATGTGTACCACTACTGGGTCATGACCTTAGGAGGAATGGGCTGGCCTTCTCCTGCCTGAATTCTATTTTTGTTGGCAGAGACGAAGGCATGCAGGTGGGAGCTGGAGTAGTCACCTTGACCCAGAGACAGAGGCTGTGTGTTCAGGAAGGTAAATGAACAAGGTAAGAGGGATCCTCAACATTTTGGCACTGCTACAGCAACCAGGACTGCTCTTGCTATTATGTGAAAGGGAAATAAACTTCCATCTTTATACGCCACTGTGATATTTGGGTCTTTGTTACAGCCTTTACAACATGCATCTTAACTAATGCAGATTTTGGTACCTAGAAGCCGGATACCCAAAACTTGACATATGTTTGAATTACTTAGAGGTCAGGTTATGGTCAAAAAGAGCAAAGGTATAACATGCTGGAAGATTGTTGACTCTTGTTAGACCTTGGTGATGACGCATTTGGTAAAACCGTCACCTGCAATGCCTTGGAAGGCACACCATGTGCTTATTGAGACTGGAAAAAGAATGTCTGTGTGTATCAGTGATTTCTTGTCAGTGCTAGCTAGTTTGCAGAAATGGAAGGCTTTCTCCTTCCGTCTGCATTTAGAATGTAGCATGCAATTTAAACTGAGTCCAGTAATGTTAAATCTTCAAGGTTTGAAAAAAATGAATGACGTCTACATCTAAATTGTAAGAGATAAGAAAAAAAGCCTGTGAACTCAAGGCTTTCTCAAGAGCTTCTCTTTAAGTGTTCTCTGCCAGACACTGAAATCCATCCCAACGGTAAGCCTCAGCTTCAGTGCATTATCTTCAAGCTTTTTGTTTCATATGGCAATTAAGTCACTGCCAAAAGTTGGAGAGAAAAGAGGCTGAGCAGCCGTAAAAAAAGAGGAGAGGTTTCAGGCTTATTTATGACCAAATAAGATCTCTGGCTGTAGCTACTTGCAATGAAACCAAACAGAAAGAAATAGTCTGGAAAGTTATTAAGTTTTTGAGAAACACAAATTGCAAAAGAAACCATACTACTGGCCTGCTAGAGCAGGTGACTATTTTGCCCTCAAGGAACCACTGGACAACCCTCCCCCTCCAAAACCTGCACCAGCAAATTGAAACAAGACATCATTTTCTCCCATCAATTGCCAAATATATGAAATAAGGACATAAAAGCTAAGTGTTGGCAGGGAAGCACAACATGGAATCCCTTATGCACTGCTGCTGGGCATGTGGACTGATATGGACATTCTGGAAAGCAATTTCATTGTCATATGAAAGCCATTACTCACCCTTCTAAGTGTTTATTCCAGAGACATTCTCACGCTGTTTCTTAAATGGACATGTATGCGGACATTTATTTTGTCATTGTTTGTAGTACCAAGATGCTGGAGGAATCTAGGTTTTCATCATTGGAGGAAAGGATAAGTAAAATGATGCTATGCTTTGTTAGACACAACGTATCATATATAATAGCAATATAAATGTTAAAAACAGTGCTGATTGAAAAATCAAACAGATTGAGCTATATATTATGATACCAATGTACTACTAAATGATGTGTGAAATGATGGAGCCATAAAGTTGTACAGTGCAGCGTGATTTGTAAACAGAAAAAGATTGGAAACAAGCCATATCCATGCTAGGGGACAGTGGGTGATGATGTACAAAAGAGAAAATTCTTTATATACTAATGGAAAGATTGTCAGAATACATTAAGTAAAAAAGCAATGTACAAAGCAGCCTATCTAGTAAGTTACTTTTTGTGCAAAAGAGGGATTAAGAATATCTATATTCATATTTGCTTTATTTGAACAAAGAAACAGTGGGAGGATAAACAAGAAAGCCATAAATGTGGTTACATGTGGTAGGGGGCCAGGAGTCAGGAACAGGGCGGGTGGGGACAGCTGTGTGGGAGACTTTTCACACACACGCTATGTAGATATACAGATATATAATTTTTAGGCTTTTGATTTTTTTATTACTCAAAACTTCATTTTAAATTTAGCTTTCTGACTCTGTGCTTGTGCCTTCAACACTTTCACAAGGATTTTCTGCCCCTCCGTAGGAAAGCATATGTGACCGGTCATGGACATGCTTAGCAGACATGGACCCACCATGGGCCCGGCTGACATGTTTCGTTTCAGGAAACCTCATAAGAACTTTAGGTCTCACAGCAACAACTTCTCAAAGTCGGCCTGGGCACATTCCACATGCAGATTTTGGTGCTTTCCCAACCTTCTGGGTTTAAGAGTAAACAATTCTATTGCCAGGGGTTCGGGACAGCCTCATTTTGTCAGAGGCCGTGTTGTGGGGCAGCCTAGGATGTGCGGCATGCCAGATGCTGGACCGTTCTCAGTGCCTCCAGACACTATCCCAGGAGAGTAAAATATATTCTAAACCATGAGAATGTACAGCATGTATTTTAAAAATTAAACGAAAATACATGCACGTAAGCACTCCATGTATTACAAAGACACACAAATAAAAAATAAAGGATAAACAGGTGGATAGTTTGTCCAAAGTGTAAGAGGAGAATGGGAGTGGGGAATTCAGATCAAAAAGGAATAAATGAATAAATACAAATAAGAAAGGGGCCCTGGCCAAACCTGTGATGAGGATGGGCTGCAAACTGGAGTCAAAAAAAAAAAAAAGCAGTAAATTCTAGAAGAGGTGTTCCAATTTCTCCAGTGGTTTTGGGAGGAAAAGAGTATTTTCTGACAGTTTGCTGATCTTTAATGTCCCAGGATATCAAGGCAAGTTTGGACAATATATAATTGGCCACACTTCAATAGAAGCTGGTAAAATGGCTTGTGAATATGTTTCTAATTCAACTTGCTTAACATTAAAAAGAGAACATGAAATTTTATTCCTTCAGTTGAATAAAGAATTAAAGGGAAGAATCTATGAATACAAGAGGGGGAAATGCACTAATAAATTGTGAAAAGAATTATGGAATTATGGCAGAGCAAGGGAAGAAAGTACCACCACAACAACAGCACACCAACCTGCCCTTTATCCAGGTCACTGTTCGCATTCTCTGAGTCCATCGTCTCCGTCCTTTTCCTCTTTCCTTTTCTAAGAGCTTGGGTATTGGTAATTTCCTCTGTTTGCAAGATCTTCTGCATTTTCTTAGTTAGTTACCAAAGGTTTTCTGAAATTGTAGGAGGAGGGAATGCCCATGAGATGGTGCTACTCTGGACGTAGTCCAAAAGTTAATGTTTTTCCTTAAAATGAAAAACAAACAAAAGAATCCATAATATGTTTACAACTGTATGTTTCATAAAGGGACTAGCCACTCAAGTAAATTATTTTACTCAATACTTCCTGTCATTCTTTCTCCCACTTGCTAATTCAGGACACACTTTCACTTGGTTCAAAATCATGAGGATAACATGTTTCCAGAACGTGGGATACAGGAAGTTGTCATTTATATAATCAAATAGTATAAACTTTTTCCATCTTTTCAAGTTTTTTCTTGTCAATCAGTTATGAGGAGTCTAAAAAACAAAGTAGAAACCTTGTAAAATTATGCAAATGATTTGAGGACTGAAGTTATATAACTTTAGGAAAAAGACATTAATAATAGCAGATCTAGGGTCTTCCCTGGTGGTCCAGTGGTAAAGAATCTGCCTTCCAATGCAGGGGATGTGGGTTCGATCCCTGGTCAGGGAACTAAGATCCCACAGGCCGCGCGGCAACTAAGCCCACACACCACAACTACTGAGCTCACGCACCTCAACTAGAGAGCCTGCATGCCACAAACTACAGAGCCCACGAGCCCTGGAGCCTGTGCACCACAACTAGAGAAGAGAAAACCTGGTCGCCACAGCTAGAGAGAAGCCCACGTGCCTCAACGAAGAGCCTGCGCACCTCAACGGAGATCCCGCAGGCCTCATTGAAGATCCTGCGTGCCGCAACTAAGAGCCGATGCAGCCAAAGATAAATAAAATAAATAAATGAAAATAATAAATAAATCTTTAAAAAAAACAATAGCAGATCTCATCAGGACAAAATATATTCCAAGGGAGATCAATAAGAATGGCCTAGAAATTTGTTCTGTTTTTTTTCTGAAAACTCTAAAGTTTTGAGATGGAAGATTTTCTTTGGTGTAAACTTAAGAGTAGCACCATAAAGAATGAAAAAAAATCTCAAAGGCAACAATGCATTTCATTAAAATTTTAAGGTAGAATCATTTTTTCAAAACCTGATAAAACAGATGATAGTCTTTAGGTTTAATAGTTTTGAAATGATCAAATCTAGCTTTTGCTGTGTATGGATGATTCAACACTTTTGGTCATAGCATCTTTTTTCTTTTTTTTAATATTTATTTATCTGCCTGTGCTGGGTCTTAGTTGCGGCACGCAGGATCTTCTTTGCTGCGTGCGGGATCTTCATTGTGGCATGTGGGATCTAGTTCCCTGACCAGGGATTGAACCCAGGCCCACTGCATTGGGAGCATGGAGTCTTAGCTACGGGACCATGAGGGAAGTCCCTGTAGCATCCTTATTACTTGCATATGTTGGTTTGTTTTCATGAAAAGATATTTAATTATAAATAATAAAACTTTACAGAAGAGACTAGCTTAAAGGGAGTTCGACAAATATGTGGATTGTTGAGTAGAAGGTAACTATACTCTTTACCAAATTACACCAAGTAATCCTTTTAGAAAATGTGGTTCTTTTACCTATTTTAAGAGAAATTCATTATTCTCTACTCCAAGCATAAAATTATATTTAGTCTTTCCAAGATTACTTCTCGTGACTTTTGGAAAACTTACTTTATGTTTTCAAATACATGAATAGTGCTTCAGCTAACACATGGGACTGGACTGTAATATCTAACTCACAAATATCAGAGCTTTATTAATAATTTCAAAGATACAAGCAATCAAAAGGCACAGGCAGAATGGGGAGGTCTAGGACATCCTGGCTTTGTAGGTTCTTCCTTCTAGAATAAGAGGTGAGGCCTCTAACTGAGGTTTGGAGGTCACCTCACACAGTGGGTGTGTTTAAGTCGTGACACTTCTCCATTTTATACCTCAGAGTTGTACAGCTTGCATGACCTTCTCTAGGAAGTTATAAATCCATAGATCCTAGGTATGTTTGCCATAGGCAATTTTAAATCAGGGATACACAGTTAAGAGCATTCCATAGACAAAAACTCCACTTGTAGCAAATATCATTCATCTGTTTACTCAGAGCAAGGTCAACACACATTTTCTGTGAAGCGTCAGATAGTGCATATTTTAGGCTTTGCAGGCCAAGGGGCAAAATCAAGGATATTATGTAGGTGCTTATAAGCAAGAAGAAAATAAATCTTCACAAAATTTTTATTCATAAAATTGAAACTATACTAATAATAATTGAGTATAACTTTTTGTCAGACAGGCCTACAAATGAGACTGGAATTTAAAAAAATATCTTGTTTAATTAGGGTTCAAAGTGTTCCCTACCATCAGAATTAATGGCAAATGCTCACTTGCCAATGCTGACCCATTATGAGATTTTATGAATTTTGTGACCTTGGGTTAGGCAATGATTTCATAGATATGACAACAAAAATGTTATTTTCACAAATGATACCATCAAGAAAGTAAATACAACTTACACAATGGAAGGAAATATATGAAAATAGATCTTACAAGGGACATGAATACAAGATATATAAAGAGCTCTTACAGCACAATAATAAAAAGACAAATGCTCCAGTTTTTTAAATGGACAAAGGATTTAAACAGACATCACTTCAAAGAAGATATATAAATAGCAAATAAGCACAGGAACAGAGGCTTAGTATCATTAATCACTACATAAATGCTCATAAAAACTACAATGAGAGGCCCCTTCATATGCACTAAGATGACTATAATCAAAAAAGAAAACAAAAAGTTTTGGTAAAGATGTGGAGAAATTGGAACCCTTATATCTTGCTGGTGGGATTGTAAAATAGTGCAGGCATTTTGGAAAAGTCTGGCAGCTCTAAAAGTTAAATATTATGTCATCATATTACACATCAATTTCATTCCTACGTATATACCCAAGAGAAGTGAAAGCATACATCCATACAAAAACTTGTACACAAACCTTCATAGCAGTATTAGCCATAATAGCTAAAAAGTGGAAAAAAAACAAATGTCTATCAACTCATGAATAGATAAATAAAATGTGGTGCATCCCTACAGTGAAATGTGATTCAGCAATAAGAAGAAATGAAGTTCTGATACATGCCACAACATAAATGAGCCTTGGGAATTTTATGCTAAGTGTAAGACATCAGTCCCCAAAGATCACACATTGTATGATTCCATTTATGTGAAATGTCAAGAATCGTCAAACTTATAGAGACAGAAAACAGATTAGTGGTTTCTTAGGAGTGAGAGATTGGGGGATTGGGGGAGGAATGCCTCCTAATGGGTTTCTTTCAATGGGGACAAAAACGTTTTTTAAAAATTGGATTGTGGTGTTTGTTGCACAAACCCTGTGAATAAACAAACAAACAAACAAAAAACCATTGAAATATGTACTTCAAATGGGTGAATTGCATGTGAATAATATTTCAATACAACTATTTAAAAAATACATAATAGGTTCAAATATTTTCTGCAAAGTACCTTCTGATGAATAATAAAATGAATAACTGTAGGCTTTAAGGACCTTACATTTTCACAAGTTTTGTAAAATTTTCCAACAAACATTTCTCCTGCTCCACACACATTTTTATCCACCATCAATTGTATCAAGTCTTAGCAGATTCCACCCAGGTTGTACTGAATTAGTGTTTTCTCAACCGTTTTGGAAATATTCTCTCCCACAGTTGTTTCACAGGCTATTTATAATGGCTAATTTGTGAGTCACTCTAAATTAATCAGCAATTACTTCTCAAATAAATAAGAACTGAGCAATATCAGTAACACCTGTTGATTTGTCAAGAGCCAAGAAAAACTCAGTCATTTGCCGTGTGTTTTAATTATGTTGCTCCTGATGTCCTCATTCCTTTGAATAACTGTTTTTGCTGAAAGGCAAATAGCCTTAAGTAAGTTTATTTTTTTCTGGGCACATGCCTTAAGCTACTGCAATAAAACACGATTTAATTACCTCACTATTGGTAAATGGCTTTCCTTAATTGGCTAACAAACAAACCACCCAGAAACTTATTTTGGTTACAGACTCATTTTTGTGAAGAAACTCTGCTGTGATATTTCATTTAAAATTTTCTAATTGTTGTGACTTGTCCTGTGAGTTGGATGAATTCTGAGTTTGGTAATGTGACATATATATGTTTTTTTTTAAGCACAGCTATAGTGTCAGTGTATAATACACACAATGCTTTGCCATCTAGTTTGGTGACAAAATAATCCACACGCCACTCTGCTTTAAAAGCACTAAGTCAAATTTTCTCTTTCTTTTCTTGCTTTGGCATGACTGACATACACTGGTAGTAAAAAAATAAAATGCAGTGTCATACAATGGTATGATGATATGCACGACACTAAAACAATGTCACATTATTACAGTGGCATCACTGTGGTTTGTGCTGCACTGAGCGGGCTACCCCGTGTGGCCTCTGTCACAACTACTCAGCTCTGCCCTTGCACCATGAAAGCACACAGGCAATCTGTAAACACAGCAGTGTGGATGTGCTCCAATAAAACTTTACCTGTGGACACTGAAACTTGAATTTTATACAGTTTTCACATATCATGATATGCTATTCTTATATTGGTTTTTTCAACTATTTAAAACTATAAAAAACATTCTTAGCTTACAGGCTGTACAGAAACAGGGGGCAGGCAGAAGGGCAGCAGCTTGCTGAACCCTGACCTAGGGGCTCAGTTATCACATTGAAAAGGAATTCAGATATGTCACATGCTTCCTTTTCTGTCATCCTCATTTCTCTTCCTGGCAAGCAGAACAACCGCTTTAACTTCTTTCTCCCCAGTGCCTTACTTCACTGCACATTATTACTAAACATTTAGAGCAGTACTTGAGAGACACAATATATAGCCAGTTAGATCCTACAGCAAATTGTTATTATTTGATAAAAGTGGATTTTGCCAGATTTAACTGGTCACCATCACTAAATAATAAGTATTATTTAGTGATGGTAACAGAGCCAGAGTCCTGGTTCACAGGGGTTGCTGATAAGCCCAGGGTGGGAGAGGGGAGACTGGGAAGTTACTGATTAATGGGTATAGAGTTCAGTTTTGCAAGATGAAAAGCGGTCT